CAAAGTAACAACTCAGTGTTGGCCTCATTGAAACGACTATTTAACTCTTGGAGTTGCAAAGCTATCACTTCATAGAAAAAATCAACACGATAATAATGCATATTTGTGATTTTTGGACCGTTGCGTCGTGACCTCCCTCGAGCTAGAAACATATCACCCATGTTAGGAACATCAATACTTTGATCCCTACAAAAAACAGAAACTTCCTCCAATAAAGAATCCCATCCATTCTCCCTCATCTTCTGGAATTGTTGCTTACATAATTCAACTAAATCCATGGCATTCACAATATCTTGATCATCCCTCTGTAAGGCTTGTGACAATGCATTTGTGATTCCAAGTATATTCCTCATCAAATGCAAACTAAATACAAAATCAAATGATTGCACTAATCCTAGCAGTATAAATGCCTCATGTTTTTGATCAACAGTCAATCTATCATTTGCAATTTCATCAAGCACATCAATTGTAGATGAGAACATGGTAATAAAGTTTATCAACGTACCATAATATGAGCCCCAACGTGTATCACATGAACGCTTAATCTCTGTTGCTTGATTTAAACCTTTCCCACTAGAAAGCTCCCCATTAGTCAGTGCTTCAACTACTTTGAGAGCTTGCTTATCTCGAAGAATGTCACGACGCTTCGATGATGCTCCAACAATATTTACCACATTAGAAACTAAGGTGAAAAAAGCACCTATGAGGCTGTGTTTTTTTGCCAAACCCACAATAGCCAACTGAAGTTGATGTGCAAAACAGTGAACATAGTAAGCAGACTCATTCTCCCTCATAATAAGTGTCTTCAGACCATTGAACTCTCCACTCATATTACTAGTCCCATCATAACCTTGACCTCGTAATCTGCACATACTCAATTTATGTCTAGAAAATAATGAATCAATACTTGCTTTAAGTGACTCAGCTGTGGTACTTGTAACATGTTCAATACCTATGAACCGTTCAATCACACATCCTTTCTTGTCTACATAACGAAACATAACAATCATCTGCTTTTTTACTGATACATCACGAGATTCATCGACTAAAATAGAAAAGAATGCATCACCCATATCTCTAATAATAGCATCAGTTGTTTCAACTGCTGCAGCATTTACAATGTCTTTTTGAATCTTGGGTGAAGTTACTTTGAGGTTTTCAGGAGCATTTTTCAAAGCAACAGCTCTAACTTCCTCATTGTGATCAACAAAAAATTGCAAAAGCTCAAGAAAATTGCCTTGGTTGCTTGAATCCTCAGACTCATCGTGGCCACGAAAGGCAAGACCTTGTCGTAGAAGAAATCTAATACAATCAACAGATGCATTCAATCTGATTCTGTAGTCAATTCGAGATTGATGTGAGTGCTTATGGAAACCATTTTCAATATGTTGTTTTTCATTCATTAAGGCTTGACATTTTTTCAGAGCTTGGTTATGGGAACTATTGGGACCTCCAACATGAACTTGAAATCTTTCCTTTTTCTTCCAATTTGAAAAACCTGTACCAACAAATGAGTCACCTCCAGCTTTCTCTCCCAAATTTGTTTTAAAAAGATAACAACATAAGCAAAATGCAACATCTTCCTTGATGCTATATTCCAACCAATAAGGGAATTCATCAAACCATGCCGGGTTGAATCGTCTTGACTCTTTTCCAAATTTCTTTTGAGGGAAATCATGATTTCTAGGCTGACAAGGGCCTTTTTGTAAGTAAGCTCTTCTAATTTCATCTCGAATGTTTGGATTGTAATCTAAAATCCGAGTTCGTAAACCAGGATCAGAATGAAGATCGGACATATTGATTTCTATGCGACTTTGCTTTGAACTATCATCACTTCTCCCAATAGGTCCTGACAACTCCAACTCGGATTTTCTTTTAAAATATTTTTCCATAACTGTCATAAATAGTTTATATTATTTTTCATCAAGAGAGAGAGAGAGAGAGATATATATATATATAATAAAATCAATCATCTGTACAAACTGAATGCATATAAATAAGAATATAATGAAATTAGTTTGTAAAAAACAACTAAGTACTAACTTGTAAAATCAATTGAAGTAGCGAGTTTGATTTGTTGGGCTGCAGACTTTTGTCAAATAATGAGTTTGGCGGCTGAGTTCTACACAAAATTATAGAATGAGTGAACTTGGTGGGATCTCTATTCTTCTTTTTTAACATAGGGTTTAGGGTTTTTCTTTTTTAATATAAGCTTTGGGCTTAAATGTATGTATTGAATGGGCTATGTGGGGGCTTTACTTGAGAAGGACCTAAAAATAATTAAAAATAATTAATTTAAATGGGATTATATGGCTGAA